GAGGGTGCTGAGACCGACAGATTTTGGTCGGCATACATTTTCGAATCGATGAAGGTCCATCGAAGCCATGAGGGCGTTATCTACGGTTCCGGCGCAATGAACAACAACGTCGTAGTGCTCATCTTCAGGTAGGATCAGTGTGACCAGATCGGATTCAACAAAAGTTCTAGGTGGTCCTTCACTTCTGCTGGGTACATGTCTGGCGTTTCTGGTGATCACCGTTGTTCTCTTTGCATTCATGAACTCAATCAAATGTTTTCCTATACCTCCTGTCCCACCTGTGATAAGGAGGTGCTGCGGTCTCGTGAAATGGGTTTTCCCCAGCTTTAGGGGAACCAATCTCTCGACGTAACGATATGAATCTTCGTAGAAGACGCACTCGAAAATGTCTTCAAGCGAGAACTCCGACTCCAGTTCCTCGTCGGATGAGTAGGACACGAACTTATAAGGTAGCAGACGCTCACTGGCTAGTGTTCTGCAGAGGGCGGTCCACTCAGTATAGGCGGTCCCATTGCTTTTACAGGCGACAACCAGCACAAAATTACTTTGTGACTCCAAGGTCTGCCATAAGGCGATAAGTTCCAGCGCCTCATTTATTGATGACGAGACGGGATGGTAGAGCACTACCATTTTTTGGCCTGATGACTGCAGCAGTTGGAATTCGGATACGGTACAATGCTTGAGATTGGGCAGACCTATCTTCTTACCAACATTGACGACAAAAAGGCTACAGTCACGTTGGGACCCGGACACTTTCAGACGGGTCTTTTCATAGTAGATCTGCTTCAGAGGAGGTGCTGAAGTGGGGAAGTTGCAGACGAATTGTTTTTCAAAGGGCCAATATTTCCTGTTGTTGAACTGGTAGTGAGGCAACAGCGTGTCCTTATTTTGTGCTTCAGTGTTGTACACGGTCCAGTTGATGGAATAGCCATCAGTGTATGAATTTGCGATGAACTGATGGAAGCGACAAGGAGTCATGGGGTGCGTTGGCATCTTCTGTGGGTTCAGACCGGGAATAAGCTGCTTGAAGAAGAAGCCTTCTGAGTTATTTTGGTCATAGTTGGAGAATCCTGGACCGTATGCAAATGCCATCAAAGCGGGTAGATGAAGAGGCATGAAAAATTCGGAATCATCCGTGGGTTCTCCAGTTTCCCAAACGATGTGTCTTCTGAAGTCATAGAGGATACAATGGCGATATCTGTAGGACGGCCGTCCCTTTTGGAGTCTCGTGCAGATATCACTGATCAGCTGATCGGATTGCTCGACGTAAGCCTTGAATTCTTCAACTATCCTTTTCAAAGAACCCTTATCGGCAGAGGAGAGCGGAGCTAGGTAATACTTAGTACACGCCCTTCCAGAGGTGATCCGCTGTGGTAACTTCTCAACAACTATCGAACAGTTAGTTCCACTGAATCCAAAGTTATTGATTGCCATGCGATCTACGCAGACTTCCTCACCGATTGCGCTAACTATGAGTTCACCGAAGTCAGCCTTAGGATTAGGACAATCGAAACACCTTTGTGCCGTCCTGTAATTGTGCTTCATTTGTTCCAAACAGGCCAACAATGAGACAATACCAGAAGCAGCTTCGGCATGGCCAACAAGGTGTTTTATACTGGAGATGGTGGCAGCACCGTAGCACCTCGAAACCGCTCGAATCTCTATCGGATCGCCTAAGGAGGTCCCGTTCCATGGCATTCCACATGGTCCACTTTTCCTGAGTTCAAGGACCGCATTAATCGTTCCTGGGACGTCCCATTGGGCACCTGGAGGGAACTAGCGTGGCCATTGTGCCCTACAGCCCAGTGCCGTATCCTAAACCTAGCTTCTGAACCGTTTCTAGACAGAAGGATACAACCTACTGCTTCTGAACGAACGTAGCCGTCGGCCCCGGCGTCGAACACTCGACAAGTCCCCTTTGCTGACAGCACTCCAGCGTTCTTCAGCACTTCAGTGACAGTATCATGAAGAATGATGTTAACACCTCCAACAATTGCATGATCACATTTTCCTTGAGTAATGGCGTCTAGAGCACATGCCAGAGCCACAAAAGATGACGAACATGCTGTGTCGACCACCACTGCAGGTCCTTCTGTCCGTAGCCAATGGGCAATTCGCCCTGCTACACAACTTGCACTTGATCCCGCGCCGAAATATCCGCTTATCTCGTTCTTTACCTCACTGTAAACGCGATTGTTGAAATCGCTCCCGGATACTCCAATAAATATCCCCGTCTCCTTTGGCACTGACGTCCACCCGGCATTCTCCATGCATCTCACGACCGATTTCATCATGAACCGTTGAAGAACGTCCACACATTTCGCTTCTTTCGGACTGATGCCGAAAAATTCGGGATCCCACTCGGTCACGTCAATATCTATCAGAGCAGGGCTTTGCTCGGGATACTCTCTGATCTTGTAGCCTTCCTGCAGACGTCCAGTTTTCATTGCTTGCCACAACTGAAGGTTGTCAGACGCATCAAAGCAGAACATTCCATCATATCCGACAATGTATACACCTTTTTCTTCTTCTGGAACTTCATGATTTGATCGGGATTCTGCTTCCGCGGTCGGTACACTGACAGGGCCATTGAGCAGAGATCCAGAGCCAGAATTTACCGGTAATTTCTCCTCTCTGGGTGCTGATTTCATGACCAAACTCAGCATACTCTTGTACTGAAAGATCAGTTCATCATCAACAAAAAGACATGCATGTGCCTCGATCAGCTTCTCATTTTCAGCTATCTTTCTTCGTTATGAGGACGGCTGATTTCCCATATGGGAAATCAAGAGAACTGCTCATCCATACTTCTCCCATAGCGATGGGAACGAAGTAGACGTCAGGTCTTCGACAACAAGTAGCTACGCACAGACAGCTGTACGCAGCATCGAAAAGGGTCCATACTGCATGTGGGTGCCTCACTTGGAGAGTCGAGTAAGTACATATGTCGTTTCTTTTGAGCGTTTTGATTACTTGAATTGACATGGCGTATTCGAGACCAATTGTTAGCCATCCGACGGTAAATTTCTTGAACGTCACAGTAATTGGTGACTTCTCTCAGTCCTTCAAGGTCTTCGTCCCGAATAAGAGGGCTATGAAAAGGATACTTCGGGTTAACAAGCTTGCCCCGAATATTCCTAGATTTCATGTAAGCAAACACCTTGAGGAGCTCAGCCTGAGTTCCAGCGATGACCACTTGCTTAGAGCTATTTACTGCGGCCAGGGAAACTTTGAAGTTCTCCAGTATTTCCTTCTGACCTGTGCTGTCTATTGCCAACATAGCCCCTCGGTCGGCGATCTTCTCCAAGGCGAATCCACGTTTGACCACAATTCGAATTCCCTCTTCAAGTGTCATAATTCCGGCCACAACTCCGGCGACCAGCTCTCCTACACTGTGTCCCAAGTAGTAGTTCGGTCGAAAACCAAAAGAATGCCACAACATGGCGCTAGCATAGCTGAAGGCGAATATTACAGTCTGAGCAATGCTAGTTGTTTGAAGAAGCGAAGCGTTGTTAGGATTATTTATAATTTTCAGGAGACTGACATGGCTTGGTCTGTGGGTGTCTGCTAAACTGAGACATTTTTCGTACTCCTTTCGGAAAATGGGAAACATTGTGCTTAGCTGTTCACCCATAAATGGATATTGAGGGCCCTGCCCCGCGAACATCATTACGCTTTTACCACGAAGGCTTCTGCAAGGTGTTTTGTAGAATAGTCCTTCCAGTTTGTTTTGAATCTCTGTGAGAGATTTGCCGATCATAGGTAGAACGTAACGTTTCGAGGACTGCAAAGACAGCGATAAGGGAGGCTTGGAGTGCAGGGCTTCAATGTGCCAAGCGATAGACTCACAGAAATCATCCTTTCCATCGAAAAACACATTCAAACCCAGAACATTGCATATCGTCGAGTCTGACCCAACACGTGCAGCTGTTGCATTCCGGATAGGGCAATTTATAAAGTTCTCGGTTCGTTTCTCCTCCTCAGATGGAATAGGTTGTACTTCCATACGATGTCCGATTCGTCCAGAATCGATGTGTACATGCTCTTTCTCAGAGGAACTACTATTTGGTGGGTCGCAACACTCCAACTGGTTCATGAAATCCCCGCGCAAGTTTGGTGGAGTCTTCTCATCCCAGTCCATTACGAAATCTTGTCTGATGTCTGGACGTCTGTTCAGAACTGTTTCCCAGTCAACGTTTGCAACTGTTAGCTCGAGAGGCTTGTGAATTATGGCGTATCTTAAATATTTGAGAGCCTCCTCGTTTGTAAGTCCCATAAAGCCATAATTGACAAGAGTGCTCTGTACTTTTCTCGCCATGCCAGTGTCCAACCAGTTTCCCCAATGAATCGTTGTCCCTGGTTTTCCTTCCATTCGTCGCAAATACATTTGATGATCAAGGTAGGCATTGGAGACGGCATAGTTAAGTTGTCCAGCATTGCCACAAACGACGGTGAAGGACGACATCACGATAAAGTGATCCAGGTTATGCCCGTTGTTCCGCAAAAGTTTATCTATAGCATGATATCCGTCCCCTTTGGGTGCGAATACTTCCGAGAATGTTTCGGCCGTCTGTCGTTCAATGGCACTATCACGGATGATTCCAGCGCTGTGAATAACTCCACTAATCTTGAAGGGAATCCTTTCGAGTTCACCTCGCAACTTCTCGAAATCAGCGACATTTGCACTCATTACTATAATATTTCCTCTTTGTTGAAGTTGATGGAGCTGTGAGACCAGATCCTCGTCCGGGACGCGTCGGCTAATTAAAACTAAATTTTCAGCAGAGCACTCCAGCAGAAGCCATTTTGCTATGGTCAGTCCAATACCAGAAAGGCCTCCCGTTATGAGCCAATTACCTCCAATGCTTGAGGAAGGCTCTGTGAGGGACAAATGCATCTTTACAAGTCGTTCGTTGTAGATGTACCGAATTTTCGGGAACTTTTCTGCAGCTAGAGTTTTGAAGAAACTGCGAGCAAGAGCATTCGCAAGCGTCGATGAGTTTGACACAGATATACGTAGTTCGAGACCATCAAAGAGAACCCGACGAGCAAAGAGGAGTAATGAGAAGAACAGTGCTCTTGCTTCAACTGTAGCTTCAGAGTTGAACCTCACGGTGGCCCCTCTCTCTATGATGTGGAGGGGATTGGGGGCACAAAGAGATATAGAGTCAAGCTTGAGTTTCGAACCGTCATGAAGATTAACAATTGAAAGAGTACCGTCATTCCAAGAAGTCAAAAGAACATCTGCACTGCCTTCTTCTTTCTCGAAGACTTCAGTATAGGCACTGCACTCCTGGGAGCCGCCTCCCACCAAAATTTTGAGCGTAGTGCAAGGTTCCACGAAAGTCTCTTTAGAGACTACAGGTGAAGAATGTGTTGAAGAGTTGCTTGTGGGACTGCTTGGAAATAGCAGTCCAGTCTTTCCCCTAATACGTTCAGCTAGTTGCTTTATTGTGGGGTAATCAAAGATGTCAGCTGTGGATATATTCATTCCTGGGAAGTATTTCTCATTCAATCGGCTCACGAACTCGACCATGTTCAGTGACTCCAAACCCATTTCAATGAAGCCCATAGAAAGCGTTTCTTCATTGATCGGGATTTGTTGAGATAAAACATCCTGCGCAGCATTCCTCACCGACTCCAGCGTTTTGTCAGCCTCCCGGATTGAAAACCTCTCGGAATCGTTGTTCTTTGTGGTACTATGCCTTTTCTGTTCTCTGATATGTTCAGCTAACTGCTCTATTGTGGGGTAATCGAAAGTGTCAGCTATGGAAATATTCATTCCTGGAAAGTACTTCTCATTCAATCGGCTCACGAACTCAACATATTAAGTGATTCCAAGACCCATTTCGATGAAGCCCATAGAAAGCGTTTCGTCATTAATTGAGAGTCGTGTAGAAAGAACATCTTGGACAGCATTCAGCACCGACTCCAGAATTTTGTCAGATTTGGAGTTTGGAAGTTTCTCTGTATTGTTTATGATCGTGGAACTATTCATCTTCTCTTCCCGCAAGTGATCAGCTAATTGCTTTATTGTGGGATAATCGAAGATGTCAGCTGTGGAGATATTCATTCCTGGGAAGTACTTCTCATTCAATCGGCTCACGAACTCAATCATATTTAGTGACTCCAAACCCAGTTCGATAAAGCCCATAGAAAGCGTTTTGTCACTGATTGGTATTTGTTGAGAAAGTACATCCTGAGCAGCATTTAGAACCGATTCCAAAACTTTGTCAGCTTTGTAGTTTAGAAACCTCATTGTGTCGTTGTTGTAGGTAGGAGCACTCATTTTCTCAACGCGAATGTGTTCAGCTAGCTGCTTTATTGTGGGATAATCGAAGATGTCAGCTGTGGATATATTCATTCCTGGAAAGTATTTCTCATTCAATCTGCTCACGAACTCGACCATGTTCAGTGATTCCAAACCCAATTCAATGAAGCCTGTAGAGAGCGTTTCTTCATTGATTGGGATTTGCTGGGAGAGCACATCCTGAGCAGCATTCAGCACTGATCCCAGAATTTCATCAGGGTTGCTTTTTGAAAGATTCCCTGTGTTACGACTATTATGCATTCCCTCTGATGGCATTTGTTCCATGACCATAATGATACCTTCTTCTGGCGTTCGTATGTTTGCACACTTGGTATCGCCCTCGGCGCAGTAAATGTCAGAAAGTCTCCTGAAGGTGTCGCTGTTATGCCCTTTATTATACGTTGCCTTAGGAGCGGGAATAATCTCATTCTCATCTGTTTCGTCAGCGGCATTCAGATGAGTCATCTCTTTCTTCTTCATTTCATGCGAAACGGCTGTTTGCAGGTGACTTTTGAGTGGTTGCCTCTGTACTGCCCCATAGGAAAGCAAAGTATTTATAATACGAGTGTATCGCTGAAAGTTGGTGACCGCTTCTCGCAAGCCAGTAACGTATTGCTCTTCCGCAGATGTGGAGGCTTTCGAAACTGTGTTACTCGTTGTAATTCTTGAGTGAAGTAGTATTTGTTCCAGATATGCTGTTGAACTGCAGCGCTGCTCATCACAAAAAGATAAAAGCATTAAAGTCTTGTATTGTGAGCTGACTAGTGTCAAAGCTCTATCTCCACTGATTATGTTGAGTAGTTCAAAACTTGATGGTAAGCAAGAAACACAGTGAAAAGAAGTCAGCACAAGTGATGGATTCATCCTCACTGAGGCTTCAACAGCGATTAAATATGGAGAATCGCTGTGCTTGATTTTCACAGAAGCATAGCGTAGATCCTCTGTCACCATGACCATGGAGTTCTTGGCATGAGGAATACAGAAGGGCCGCATTTGAGCGGCTTCCTTACCACAAGCATAATGACGTTGCAATTTTGTGTTGAGTTTCTTCATCTCGTCTTCTTTTACAGCTGAAGCGATGCAAATGAAGAAATCGTGATCATCAAGTCGCGCAGACACCAGGAATAAGTCATTCATGCTTTCCACTTTCGTTTCCAACAAGCATGGAGAAACGGGCTTTAACTGCATGATCTTGATGTCTACCACACAGATACTGCCACAGCCATGCTTACTGAGAGCAGCATGCACTACTTCAATTATGGCACCTATTCCAATAATGCTGCCCTTGAAAAGGTGTGGTTGACGCACATTGTCGAGCCAGTTCTGGAAAATGCTTGATGTTCTCGTCTCTTCTTTCAACATTCCTAGCAGATAATGATCGAATATTGGAGGTTTGGTCACATACCAGAGAGATCTTCGATTGAATGCATATGTAGGAATTTTGACGTACCTCAGGGGCCGAGTATACAGCCTTGAAAAGTCCAGGTCAAGACCGTTTGTGTACAAGTGAGCACAAGTAAATAGGAAATTATAGTGTGTCATCACAAAAGACTTATCACAGTGTATTTTGATCATTGAAGGATTTTCCAGAGACGACTGAGGTGAACCGATATGTCGATTGAGAAGAATATTGGTCAAAGGGGTGATCCCGAACTTTGCCAACCCAACAACTAGCTCGTCACGCGACTTCATTTGGAGAAATTTGGTGGAGACTTGATTTGCCGGCAGAGACGAAAATGCTATAAGAGCAAGTATGAGCTCTCTGTTCGTTTGAGCATATACATCAACTGATCTAAAAACATCTGCAGCGAAGCGGATAAAACTTATGAGTAGCTTGTCCTTGTCGCTTAGGCCTTGGTCAGACATTAATTGATCGAAATGCTTTGAATAGCCGGGATTTTGAAGCATGTCGTACGAAACGTCTGCATCGGATAGCACAAGAGCAGCTCCTTTTGCTGGTTTGTGGCATGCACCAAAAAGCTTTTGGATTTCGCGACCCTGCCTGTCTACAATGACAGCACAACGATGGCTGTAATGATTTTTGTGGAAAGCAAAAGCTCCAGTGATGTCCTCCATGTTTTCATTTGTATTCAAAAGAAAATTTTTGACGACTCCGACCATCATGTTCAAGGATTCCATGCTCTTGGCACTGACAGGTACAAAGTAGTGCTTCCTCAATGCCTCTAATTTCCGCGGCGGTTCAGACGACTTGCTTAATAGGGCCGCTGCATTTGTTCCGCTCACACCAAATGACGTCACACCGCAATCTTCCAGGCTTCGTTCTTCGCCCACGACCGGAAATATGAGAGAGCCAGTTGTCATTTTGCTACTGGTAACATGAAAATTAACTAGTGGAGGGATGTAGTTATACTTCAGCATGAGGGATAATTTGAGCAATGCGGACGCCCCTGCTGCAGCCTCGCCATGGCCAATCGAAGCTTTTATCGTTCCTACAGTCAAGTTTTGAAATGTTGATGAGAGAGCCTTCATCTCCAACAGGTCGCCAATACGAGTACCAGTCCCGTGTGCCTCCCAATACTGAAGCTTGTCGCGTCCACACTCTCGAAGCATAGTGTTAATGAGCTCTTGCTGAGATTGTGGGTTAGGAGTTGTAAGCGAAGCACTTCTGCCTCCATGGTTGACGTTCATTCCAACGATTCTAGACATGTATACCTTACCAGGTCTCACTTGCTCAATCATCAGCGCAACACATCCGTCGGAGCGTCCATACCCTGAGGCGCGAGCGTCGAAACTCAATGACATTCCATGTCGCGATAACATGTTCCCATTTGCTCGAACGCCTTGTCCCTTTTCACTCAGAATCAGATTCACTCCAGCAACGATTGCAGTTGTACACCTCCCACTTTTCAGAGCACTGATTGCGAGATCGGCGGCAACCAGAGAAGAGCTGCAAGCGGTGTCCACTGTAATAGACGGTCCGTGACTACCCAATACGTAATTGATTCTACCGGAAACGAAGGCGTACATGGAACCGAGCATAGAGGAGATGGACCGACACGTTTTCATCAATTCAGGGTACTCCGTTTCCATCAATCCTACAAACACACCTACATTGCTAGTGTCGGTTACCCCAGCGTTTTCGATACATTCTTGAACGCATTCGAGCAGAAGTCGCTGTTGAGGATCCATGTTTTCCGCTTCACTAGTAGAAATATTGAAGAAAGATGGATCAAATCCTGAAACGTCTTGAGTGATGAAATTTCCACCTTCTACAGATACTCCATACACCTTCCCTTCAATGAGCGTATCTCTCGTTGCGATTCGATTGGCTGGGATCCTGGATGCCGTATTTCTTCCGCTTTTTAACAAGTCCCACAATTCGGATTCGTCAGTTACTCCACCAGGCAAACGACAAGAGGTTGCTATTATCGCTATTTCCACTTCGTTCGATTCCTTTTCTGGTTCTTCGTTGGGCACTATTTCGGAAATCAGCTCGTTTGAAGAAGGATTGCAGGAATCACGCAGATCGACGGACGAGAAATTGTCGAAAAGGGGTGGAGGCAAGAGTATGCTACTCTTGGGCTGAGTACTCCAGTTCTGAAGATACTTCGGCAAGTTCATGGCTTCTTGCGGTGCTACTTCGAGCTTCAGTGGGGCTATACTCACTTTGTTTCCAGGTAGATGGTTCTGATTCGGGAGCCCCTCAAGCATTTTTGATTTGATCACTGGGTGAGAAGCTTTCGAATTGTTGAATGAAAGCTGGCTAAGTAACAGTTGCCCAACAGCATTGTAACCGCTGCCTTTTTTAGTGCAGAAACATGTCTCAAAGTCCTCCCAAAATGTTTCCACAGCAAGTATTTCCTTGTTGGTCGTTCCATTCGCATCCATTGAGATGAAGTTATCGCAATCGTCGTGAAAAGCGTTCACCACGCTAGTGAGGAGGTACTCGATAAAACAAAGGTTGCTGTGTCCTGTGCCAGAAGGCACACAACGATCCAGAACAGCTGTTTCATTCTGTCTACAGGTCTGTGAGATTGTCTTCTGATACGAACGCTGGTTTCCTTGTGAAGGTGAATTTGCAACGACATGTGGCCAGATGAACCTACGTGAGTGGGTGCAGCTTTCACCTGAATATCCGAGGGGACAGCTTGTAATTGCGGTACATTTGTGCCGACTTTTCATTATTGACCATAGCCACTGCCACCATAACATCACGAGCCATTTTCGGAGCAAATTAATAACAAAAATAGCTCGCAGCAGTTCTTCCACGAGTGCGTTAACAAATCTAATCGACGGTCTTCTACGCAGTTTTTGTCTCCGTAAACACATAAAAATTGCGATGGTGAGAACAGACCGTAGACGACGATACCTCATGCATGGTCGAATACAGTTCTCAGTACCACTGATCAACCTACTAGGGGATGTATTTTTTGGTAAAGCTATGTTGCGGAGTTTGCGATGACATGGGAAACAGAGTGAAGCAAGAAGGCATCTTGCCACAGCGGCCGCATTACACTCGAAGCAGTTGTGGCCAGAGAATTCGATCTGTAAAAGCCTATTGATGAGGTCCACTGCTTCTAACCGTCGTGATGTCTCCTTCAAGCTGGATATCCTGTCGATTTTCTGCTTCTTAGATAATTGCTCCCTCTTCGAAAAAAAGAATACAGCAAAGCCATCATCCACCAGTGTCGCTCCGCCTTCAATTCCACACCGCCTCAGCAGCTCTTCCCTCATACAAAGCTTGTGCCTGCTGCGAATATTTGCTTCTATTTCGACGAAACCACGTGATTTCACGAGATTCACCAATATTTCAAAAGTGTCACGTGTGGCTGGAGTCTCTTGTAATTTGATGATGAACAACTTGAGCAATTCATTGGAAGAGCGATTGTTCTTCAACACGTCCAGGGTGTGGCAACAGTGAGCACTAGCTCGACTAACTGTCTCTGAGTGTTTACCAGCAGCATGAATCAAGGATTTACTCGTAGCTGTTCGCCTTGATTTCATTTTATCGACGAGATATACCGCATAGTGTTGATGCATCACGACGATGGCGACATCGAACATCATTTTCTATGAAAAGGAAGTAAGTCTCATTTGAGAAAAACTATTCGATTAAACGAGAAAACGAACCACTCACATCACCGAAAAAAATCTTGTCAATAGAAGGAAGCAACTACTGAGTACGAACGTGAAAGTATGAGAAAATCAATGTATGTATACATATTTATCTGTTGAAGTATCGAGGTTACCCACGCAAACTAGAGTGCGTGCGAAGAGACCCCTAATGGAGCGCTGCAATATCAATTGGTTTAGAGGGACGCCTTGGCTACGCTTCAATCCGAGCCCTCTTGGGCAGCTTTCAGAATTCGCGATGACGCGCGTCGACGCTCTACCATCAACGCCCGCGGCTGAAGTAGCGCGGCACATTCTCAACCCAAAGTGCACGGAGACGGAACTGGGGGATTGTGATACTCGGATGCCGTTTCCATACTCCTGCCAACGCCATCTTCAATGTGCGGCATCTGCGTTGATGCCAGAGTCCCACAGCGCAACACGCACTCGGCGGTAGAGAACAACCAGAAATGAGAAGGTGCAGACAACGAGCATGTCTGGCTATGCCTAGGCATGTCCTGGCATGCGGCTGCGCGGACGAAGTGTGGCGACGGAAATCGAGTGGAACTACCCTTCAACCTCGTTCTCGTGCAGTTTTGCCTGGAGAAATAGCAAGCTAGTGTAGCTGCGTATCCATTCACGCATGACAAGGAGCAGGATTCACGGTGTGTAAAGGCAGCGTTTCAGACCGCTCATCTCGCTTCACCGCTTAGCAGCTCTCACCAGATATTCTATTCAACAGTGATCAGTGTCGAGGGAAGTCGATTAGCAACTATGTATTACGTCCTGGGTGGATTCAACATTTCGTCTCCACTACACGATCGCAGTT